ATAATAATAATAATGATAATAATGACAATAATAATAATAATAATAATAATAATAATGATAATAATAATAATAATAATAATGATAATAATAATAATGATAATAATGACAATAATAATAATAATAATATAATGATGATAATAATAATGATAATAATGACAATAATAATAATAATAATAATAATAATGATAATAATGACAATAATAATAATAATAATGATGATGATAATAATGACAATAATAATAATAATAATAATAATAATAATAATAATAATAATATGGTCGTCTTGGGTTTACCCTAACTTGTTTCTTTGGAAACACTATTACTTCATGAGTTCGTGTTCTCGAAATAATCTTTGCTCTAGTTTTGCGATGACCACACGATGCCCTCAGTGGCTCCTGATGATGAAATTTCTATGTAAAAAAACAACTGTTTTTTTACTTTCGTGTTGATATGAGCCATTAAGATTTTAACAAAGACTAAACAGTAGGAACCAGAACTATATTCTACTACCCAATCTTTTCTGATACAACCTGTACAAACCTGCAGGTATTTTTTTGTCAGTGTATCTATATACTTTATGTGGCTGTGGGGCAGGTTGTCCATTCATGGACACTTTGCATGTTAAAGTGTCCAAGATAGAAATTACCCTCGATGCAGATGTGTGTGACAGATAAATTTGTGTATGCATGGAAGGAAAGTACTGTATGAATATATGGGTAAATAAGGGGAAGAAGTTCACCATTTTTAATGCCAAACCGTTAATTCTATTTCTAAGATGAATGTGTTTGTAGAGCTCACTGAAGCTTATGACAGAAAACCAATAAAGATGAAAGAAATAATAATTAAAACCCTTGTTTCCATGAGAACATTCTGGTGTTTTGGACACGGTGTTAAAAACACAACAGATAACAACAGATTTCAGTTTTAAGCAGATGTCAAACTGCTTTCACAGTTGTTGGGAGACCTCTGTGTGCCGCCTCCAGGTAACACAAATGAAGGTAATAGAAATCAAAATGTGGACAAAACAGCATTTTCTCCATAGACATTATATTGGAAAAGACACATGAAGAATGTAGAACATGCAAAAAGAAGACAGGTATGTGCCTTGTTGAGCAATCATTATTAAACTGAGTGGGTGCTATCTTTGACTCAAGTATACTCAAACAACTCAAACTTGCTGCTCTCGCTGCTGTGGGTATAACAAACTCTAACATTTACCTCACCCACCACTCTGTGTGCTATTTTAACTGCTGTTTGACTTTCATCACTTTCAGATAAGTGGACCACTCTGATTTCTTTTCTCCAGTTTAATCAGAGAAAAAAGTCAAAAAAGTCTCAGTTTCCCTAATAAAGCCCACATTGTTGTTTCTTCTTGTTTAATTGGCAAAGCTACATTTTCTCTGTACACACTACAACACCATGTTAGCATTTTCAGATTTTTGTCTTTTTAACAAAGAACTACAAACTGTGAACTGCCTGTATGTGCGGATATGGAAGCGTTTGCCTAATTACATGTGTTGGTTGTAAAGAGTGCTGGATCTGATATCAGTTATAGTGTGAGCAATCCACATTACAACTGTTAGTAGTTACATTACAATCAAGCCATGCTGCTGAATCAGGTTTCAGTGCTGCAGTCAACACTGATCTCAGGTTGCTTTGCTTAAAAGCTGAACCCCATGAGATCCATGCAGAGTGACACAAACTTTAAACATCAGTTGGCCTGAGGTATTAGGGGAGCAAATGTGGGCTTTTTGAAATCGGATCGCCTGCAGACTGCTGTCATGTCCAGGCTGTAACCCGTTAACAGCATGTGAGACGGTGCGTATGTCATTTCTGATTTGCCTGCATTGTCTTGCACATTGTGATATACCGTTTGCATGGCTTTATTACAACCGTGCATGAAGCTCTGTCAGAACGCTTGCCGTCAGGTGGTGACGATGTATAAACCTACCTTGCGTCCCACTTCATTGTTGTGTAAATTCATGAGTGTCCTGGCGCTCTGCTTGATCTCCCGCGCATCCACAAACACCTTGGAGAAACTCAGTCCATAGTGGACGTCCGCAGAACAGCCACCCCACTTCCAGCCCTCCTGCTGGTTGTAGAAACCCTGTTTCTCCTTGTCACAACCGCAGCCGCTCAGGCTCCCCTGGGTGCAGGCCGCTGTGACTGCATGGGCGACCCCTGCGGCTATGATAGCGTAGGTGAAAGCAGCCTCCTTACTGCCTGCGATAAAGAGGAAAGACATTTCTAATCACTATCACAGACAACAGGATTCACTATTTCAGGCACTGTCAAGCCTCCTTACATACCTTTCATAGTTGCCTCAAACCAAATCACGAAATACACAAGCCGAGCCAAGTCCCCTTCATTAATCAAGCTCTCTTTAAGCAGATAAACCTCAGCAGGAAGCGTACCTCTAACAGCTCTAATAGTGAACACCTTTAACAAAGGAAGGTATTTTCAAGCAACTTGTATTGAATGTGTAATGACGTATGGTTAGGTGGGATACTACTGTAAGTGCAGGAGAGTAATCACACTATTTCACTGATCAGATGAGCATAATGAAACAGTAGAGGCAGATCAGAGATTAAAAGCTCGGGCATCAGCTTTGGCCCTTGTCCCAGCCGCCATCTCTCCAGGATCCACCCTGCGGAGGGGAATCTGAGAGGCATGCACAACCTCCCTACGTGGATGGATTTCCACTCCATAAATCCAAGTTCTTCAGCTGTAGTTTTTAATTAAAGGCGGAGATCGTTTCTGAGCACATGGGAAAGCATCCAGAAACGGCCAATAAAGTCATCATATTCAACTACTAACTTCTTAACCTCTGCCAGGTGACCCGTCCCAGGTTAGGGGTATTATTTAGAGGCATTTTGACCTATATGGGACAAGCAGATGGGATACCTTTAAAAGAAAATCACTACATGCATCTGAATGTATGAGACTTTATTTGAAAGGTAACGTTTTGCGGTTGAAGAACAACCCAACTCTCATCAGCTGGCTTTTGCTTCTGTCATATTGTAACACTTGTCTAACTGTAACCACTTTTCCTTCTGCGATACCTTTCTGCAGTTCGAATGCTTAATTCTAGCTCTAACAAGTCAGTTTCAGTGCCTCACCCTAACATGTAGTCCGACTTAAAGCTGATCCTCGTCGCCCTAACCCTAGTCACTTGTTTCATGTAAATAAAACTGTGCAGTAGATCTCGTCTGCCTCGTTCTGATGTTCATTTCAGGGTTCCTGTTTTGTTTTCTTTCCACTCAAGCCCTGAGAGACATTTGCCAGCACATTCGTTGTCATTGACTCTACTCCAGGTTTAACTCGGTTGATTTTCCTAACCACATACTTGTCCCCCTGGACCTGTCCCAACTGAGCTAGTGGATGTTAAGAGATTGAACTGCCACAGAGACTTTTCCGACATTGCACAGCTTGTCTTTATATGCACACACACACACACTTCTGTGCAGCTGTTGAACCTTGCTGGAGCACATGCACACCGAGTCCTGATTCTCACTATCAGTCTAGGACCATCTCAAAGTAGATGGGACATCACACAAAGCAACATCCTGGCTTTACATTTGTGATCTAGAGATATTTTCTTCTGTCCGATCGCTTGCCCGTGCAGCCAGGAAAGGAGAAGCCCGTACTCACTCTCTACATCAAGCAGCCAACTTGGTGGGTGGGGAGGATGCTTGAATCTAACGCCAAACTACTGTACCCTCCTGCATTGCTGCCAACAATGATCCCAAATTGGTGCATTCTGTCAGTTATCAGCATTCCAGCTCACTGAAACAAAACAATAGATTCACATAGACGAGGTGTTGGGCAGCCGGACCCAAGCAGCCTTTTGCAGTTGTGCTTTTCTGAAAAGATCTACACTCATCTTTACTCGCTGACTTTAATCTGATGATAAAGAGTGCTGCTCTGCCCTGAAGCACTGAACTAAAAATCATTCTACATACAGCGTCTTTTGCCAAAGCTGCACAACCGGGAGGTAAATTTGTAAACCTAGAAGTAAGTACTTGCCTGAACTTGAAGCTTTGGGAGGTGTGGGTGAGGGAGAGGGGTGTATTTTATGAACATACATGAAGGCAGTCGCACTGACAGTGGATAAAAAAAGAAGAAGAGAGCATGTAGGTATGTGTATCTTGCAGCTGTCAAATGCATCACATTAAATAAGTGGTAAAAGAAAGTGGGTTGGTGCACTCATTCAAACTAGTATGTCGTGCACAACGCAGCAATCAAAGCTCAGCGTGAGCTATAATACACACCACATGAAAAACGACACCCTCAGCTCTCCGTCTGAGATGACAGGCTGAAGTTAAAGGACAGGACAGCAGAATACCGGCCTGTTAAAAACTCATTTATCCACAGCGCTGTCTCTGGAGCGAGCATCGCCTCCAGCTTTGTTCCACACACAGGATCAAATCAGGGGCTTATTTTCCCACTGAGAGCAGATGCAGCGCGCCTGGGCTTCAAACTTACAGACATCTGTCCAAGTGTCAGAGTTCGAGTACCTCGGAGGAATGTCTCCTCCAAATGTTTTTGGAGAATTAAAAGCAATTTTGAACAATCAGTGTCCAGCTTACTTCCCCTGTATCTGCTAGAATGATACTGGAAATGTACTAAAGATAACACACAAGCTAAAGAAAATATTGTGTAATAATTATTTTATTAGTTGACATACATTCACATATCTGTTTTAAAGGGTTCTCACTATGTAAATTGTTCTTATATTGTGCCTTTCTACTTGAGCACTCTATATATGACATTCGCACTCAGATGGAGACATCAGGAGCAACTGGTGGATACTTTAACACACAGACAGGAGGAGCCAGGAATCGAACCACCAACCCTCTAAACAGCAGATGACCTGCTCCTGCACTAAAGCCGACCACAAAAGAACAAAGCTTACAGACGTAAACTTGTTGTTTAATTATCATGCTAAAAACTCTGGTGCAAGTTCACAACAGCAACAGCCTCCAGGCACTTTAAATGTTCAGGTAAGTCTCTACAATACTAGAGAGAGAAGCTCAACATTCAAGCAATTCCCTGTGAGGAAGAACTCCAGTAGAACCAGGCTCACAGTAGAACCAGGCTCACAGTAGAACCAGGCTCACAGTAGAACCAGGCTCACAGAGGGGGAGCCTGAGAGGGAGATGAGGGGGAATGAATAGAAAGAGAGAAAACCCCAACTTTATCGCCCTGTGAGAAGCACTTGGTGACAGTAGGGAGGAAGAACTCCCTTTTGACAGAAAGACACATCTGAGCGAGAGGCAGCCACCTGTCTTGATCGACAGAGGGGAAAGAGAAGACAAAGGTGGAGCTCAGAGACACAAACGTTTATTTCAATATCTGCAGAAAATCTTAACATTAATGTGATGATTTTGTTTTTGTTGACAAACTATTTAAAAGTCCACATGAACCAGGTGACAAGAGAGATGGAACCCTTTAAAGCAGGCAAAGATCAATTATTTTTACAGAAGTGCTTTAGGAAATGAGAATATGAGTGTTACTCAGATATAGATACAACATTCAGTAGTGTTATGATGGCATTATAATTATATTTAGGAGTATTATTCTATTTATATGCCACTGAAAGATAAAAGCCAACCGCCCCCCTGAATCAGCCTCGCGTCACTGAGGTGCAGCGTGTACAACTACATACCCACTCTGAGTTCTTTCCCGAACACGGTCCTCTCCCCCAGGGCTGAGCAGTTCCAGCGGCCGTGCCTGAACTGAAACTGACACTCATTGATTCCCATCTGAACTCCTTCCCCGATCACTATGATCGCGTCGGGTCGACTCTGACAGATAGTCCTCTGACGCGGGGCCAAGCCGGGGATCTTGTTACAGATGATGCTCGCTCCCAGCGCCACCACCGACGACAGCCCCCTGCGATGAAGGTGACAGGTTAGAAATGTGGCGTTTCCCTTCTGCGGCTCTTTCTGAGAACACCACGTGTGAGTGGATGCAGGGGGGGCAGGTGCGTGGGATTCTGTAACAACACATGTACAAACTGAAACCATAAAAGACCCCAGCACCCAGCAGACCCCGGTGTGCGTGTGTGTGTGCGCGTGTGTGTGTGGAGAATCTCCCATTTGATCTGAGACACCAACAACAGAACAAATACACCTGAGCACTCACCCGATTTTCAGGTACACTATCCCGAGGCACAGGAAAAAATGGAAAATCCAGCGCCGCGTATTCCTGTTCATGGTACTCAGCCCTGCCGGTGGATGAACGCTCCGCTGTTGCAACAACACCCAGCTTTACTCCTCCTGCCGAGTCCCGCAGGCTCTCCAGGTGTTCAGAGCCCCGCGCGTAAATATACGATAAGTCCAGAGTGTGTGGAAGTAAACGCGCCCTGCTCTCATCTGGTGACCGTGCGCTGGAGGTGGCAGCCTGCAGGGGAGCATTGGGGCTGTTGTGTACAGGTAAGGCAGCTCGGCTCCTCGGTGATCGGGCTCAGTGTGTGTGTTTGTGTGCGTCTCTCTCTCGCCGTGAGTGTGTGTGTCTACCTTTTCTACTAGGGCGTGTTCTGTGGAAGATCTGCCTCCGAGCAGCTCACACACGCTCTCACACAGCCTGCAGGTACACGCTGCGGCTCCCGCAGACCCGTGTGGTAAACACGCAGAGCCGTCACGTCCTTACACTCACACGCGGCGGCTCATCCTAAACCACAGGTCACCCGCGACACCGCAGACTGGCAGCCGGCCGGGCACCGTTACTTTTTATTTAGCAGTACAATAAAAGCCCCTCCCACCGACACACACACACACACACACACCCCTCAGCCCAAATGGACGGATTACGGGGCTCACTGTCAGACTTTGTTTGTTTGTCTTGTTTTGGAGCTATTTGTAGTCATGTTGTGTGTTTTCCAAGATGCTGTATCTAGTTGTAGTTGTTTTGTGTGTACAGTCATTTTACACTTGTGATGTCATTTGTGTCTTTGTGCTCATTTTGAGTCATTTTGTAGGTTTTTTTTTTTTTGCGTCTTTATCTGAAGTCAAACGGCATCATCTTACAATCATAATATGAATATGAATGATTGAAAACGATGTGAAATTATGTTTGTATTTTGTAGCCGTTTTGCATGTTTGAATTTGTTTTCATCTGTTGTGTTTTCGTTGTGTCTTTTTTTGCAGTTTCTCACTTTGTTCTTTGTCGTTGGTCACATTTTGTTGAGCTAGTTTTGCGTTTTTTAGACCCCAATTCTCAGTCAGTCAGCTGTCAGTGTCTTTATTACACTCTGAACAGTTTTACGGTAAATGAGTATTTCAGGTCCTTATGCAACTTTTAATTCATTAAAGCTGAAAGGTAAATATTTTGACTGAACATTATTTTAACATCATTATTAGAGACTGCTAAAGAGCAGTCAGTTCCTTTCAGTTCCCCTTGAGTCAGTGCTACACAGCCAAGGACCCCCGAATGAATTTCACTACTTTAGTTATTTACTTGAATTAAGTGCTTGAGCTCAACCAGTATAACAGTGGTTTTAGAATGTTATTTTTCCCCCAGTTTTAAAATTTGTCGTACTATAAGTACTGGATTTCTTTGGGGGAAAAAAATCCATACAAAGCCAGAAATTCATTAATGGCACACATATCTGTTCCATCAGTTAAACCTTCAATTATTTTCATTGCACAAGTGGATAAATAGTGGATACAATGTAAATATGAGTCTGAGGTGTTAAAGTGAGATTGTTAAACTGTGAGCATGTAACGTTCTGCACAGTAAGGTTCAAACATCATGAACACTTTTCTGAGTACCGAGGAACTTCATATTTGAACGTTTGTCATTTTGGATGCTTGTAACAGCGCATTTATATTATGTGTTTTCGAGGCTGCTTTTACTTAGTAAATAAGCAGAAATTTTTACCCACCAGAGAATAATAGAGCATTTGAGTTGAAGTCTGATCGTCAAACTAAATATTTTGAAACAGTTAAAAAGCAAATTCAGTTGGAAATTCAAACTTCATAACTGGGAAAAAAAGATTTAAATAAGAAATCTTTGGCTTGTCGGGCAGTTTCTGTGTCATGGGGGAAAAACAAGCCTAGAAACACAACATAAGCCATAAAATGTTTTATTTGTTTAAAAACTGTCATTACTGGTCCAACAGTAATTGGTTTATTATGCAACAGCTGCAGAAACATTAGTAAAGATCAGATCAGACTTTTTCCTCATGTCCAGTAAATGATCCACAGTGATCGTTGTGTGGAGCCGTCAAAGCGCTCTAGCGCCATCTGCTGGCACACCTGTGAACCTACCATTGAACAAAAAGCTGTTTTCGCACTTCTACCTCCAAGTTAACATCAGCACACAATGGTGGGAAATGCTGCCTTCATTGTTAGTGTGTAGAGATTTCCTAAGTACAAACACGTA